CAAATATACGTAAGGGCACGGCCGTAATGCACTTTCTGCCGGGAGGCTTTCAGAAACTCTCTTCTTTTTCCTGTCGGCTCGCCGGCTCGTCGTGAAGTTTTCCGCGCGCGCGCAATGTTTCCCGAGAAAACGATACCGAGCGAGGCGTATAATGCTTCCTTCCGTGCTCAGCCGTAGGCCGTTAAACTTTTACGCCCGACGCATATTTGCTTTTGTAAATTTCGCTGCTGTGAGGATTAATCGAGCTGCATAATTAATGGATTGCGCCGTAATTGCTGTTTCGGCTGAACTTTGGTTTATTGCGGTTCGCGAGTTAATTGGAATTGGAAAACTCGCGGCGCGAAATTTATTTTTTCGGAAATGAATCTGCGTGTTACGAGCGAGGCCGAGTCAAACGAACGACGCGTCATTCAATGAAACTCCTCTCAACACTTGGACGCGAGCATCCATCACGATGGAGAAGCAACGTGGCAGGCAAGAGAAATCGCCAAGAGAAGCACCGAAGACGCCTCGTCGATCTTCGCTCGAGCGGCAAATATGAATCTCATGGTGAAATTAAGCGAGGGAGCGATAGAGGCGGTCAAGATGGGCGAAGCGCAGAGCAGAGAGCAGCGACTGACGATTCCATTCACACTCGCCGGGCACTTTCGCTCTTTCGGCTCGACGTAAGCTCCCTCCGTAGCTCGCTAGCGCCGACGCGAGGATAACTTTATTAGAGCGTCGCTCGAGCGGAACGCCAGAGCTGCAATGTCTTATCGAACAAGATGTAATCCATGCCTGAACGCCGAGGACGTAGGTCAGAGTTGATAACCAGACGTTTTAGCGCGCTTACGGCATCTCTCTCTTTTTATGTCCCCTTGAGGAAGGTTGTATACTCGAGTCGAAACCCAGCGTCACTGTTTGCGAGTAAGAGATAAAGATATGAAATTCCGAGACTGACTCCTGAATTAATGATAACGCTGGGATTTATGCCTATTGTAAGCGCGGAAAGATACGTGATGCTTTTTAGCAATCATGCGGGCCGTGGAGGCGTGTCAGTTGCGTTGGCATGGGCGATATTCGGCTCACTATTCATCCGCGAAAGCTGTCTACGAGAACAGACAAACATGTAAATAAGGAGCGATGGGTTTCCATGCCAGACTGACCGTTCGATTTGCCTCGCCCTCTTCGCGATAACGGAAGCGCGAACGGGCATAACGTCGCGATCGGTCGCAATTTTAGCGACGCCTAAAAAGCAGCAATTGTGAGAATAACGACGTCGAAGAGAACATAACTACAATCAATCTCACGGAAGACATTGCTGCGTCGTTTACCGTCAGCACTCGAAATCGAATCGGGATATAGGGATCCGACGACGAATAAAAAAGGGAGCCTCGCGAGCTGCGATAAGATGCGACGACGTCCCGTCTTCGGATGACGACGTGCATCCACGATTCCCAGCGGATAGATGAGCAAATGGGAAAGAAGAGAGAGAGAGAGAGAGAGAGAGAAAGAGGCTGCACGCGAGTCGAATAGCAGATGGTGTCGCAGAGCCTTTTTTCTCGTCAAAGTGAAAGCAATTTGCCGTAGTCTTTCAGAACGCACTCGACTTTTGTGCTCGCGGTGGAGGCTTTGTTGTCATTGTCGTATCTCCCGATGGCTTCACTGGATTGCCTTCTTGGATCCTCTACGATTGCCTCGAATATATCGCATCGACGAGCATGCCGTTCTCTCTCGCCTGTTCTGCTTCCTTGCCAAAGGACGCGGAAGAGACGCGGTGAACTCGGGGGTTGGCGGAGGAACGCTAATTATTTAACGGCGGGGATTCGTGGCCGCGCGAATGGAAGCTGCGAATATCAAAGCTAAATATACCCGAAGCAGCGAAAGAAATTCGCGGAGATCGAGAGAGAGAGAGAGAGAGAAAGTCACGTTACTTTGGGCCTCGTGAAAGCACCGAGGAACCTAGAGCAGCTTCTCTTTGAATTGACTCGTCCTTTTCGCGCCGACTCTGGGATTTAATTACCGCGCGACTGTCTCTCGAGCACGCCCTCCGTGACTTTCACTTTCGCTTCGGGTTCTTTCTCCATAACTGCCGAGCTTCAGCGTCGACTAGAATGCTACCCTTCCTCCTCGTCTCTTCTCTCGCGGACCGCCGTCGCGCGAGCGATTCCGTTTATCCGGGGTGCGGCATCGCGCGAACTCGGATTGCAATTTCGGTCTTGGGGGGCAAGATGCGAGTACGCGTGCCGCTCCGCGCCGTCGGCAGACGTGCCGCGAGTCCAATTCAACTTTCCGCTGCCGTTTCCGCTTTCGTTCGACGCGTGCGCGTGGCAACGAAAGTTGGATTAGTTCGCGCGCGGCTAACGCGGCTGCGCTCACGTGGCGCGTCGCGAGCGGCAAGCAGCGATTGCAATTTTTCTCGCCTGCTTCTTCGGCACCACGAACGCTCGCGCCAGCGCCGCGCGCGATCTATCGCTACAAAGCAACCGACGCGAGAGAGAGAGAGACGTCAAGAATAAGGCGCGCAAAGAGCAAACAAAAGCAGCCACGAACAATGGGCAGCCCCGAGCCTTCCGAAGTCAAGAGCAAAAGTCTCTCTCGCTCTCTTTCTCGGTTCGGAAACTCTCGCTCTGCGACACTCGGAATATGGGTCAGGGGTGCAAGTGTGTTTAGCGTGTTTACCTCGGTCCTCCTTTCAAAACTCCGTCATCGCGCGCGACGAATCAGAGGGCCGCCGTGACAAGCCGTTGTTAATACTTGCTGGTCCGTCGCCGCGCGCAGGTGCGTTCGATTCGATAACGACTTAGGCGCGATCGATTCGGAGTCTTCGGATCTTGTTGCCATGGGACGAGGCGATTGGGGCGTTTTTTGCGAACTCTCACGGAAAGCCATCGCTTACGCACGGACGGCGATTCATCACGAGCGAGGTGGAATCTCGGCTTTCATCGACGCTCGTGCGAGCTCTCGTCTACATACCAAATATACAAGTTTCCTGCGTTGCGATGTGTTTCAACGGGAGAGGCTTTGTGGTCGCGAACGCGAACGAAACGAGAAAATCGTTAGTGTTTGTGACTGGCGACAGCTGCCTCGCGCGCGACTCGGTGAACGTTGAGAAAGGCGCCAAACGGACGAATAAAATGCCAATGTCACGATCCGGCTGGCCAATCCTTGGGCCTCCTTCGTTCGTTCTCCAAGAAGACGCGCTTCGAGATAGACGATCGTTTGCGAGCACACGCGAGATCGCTTTAATTGCGAAAAATGACGTTTCACGGAGAGATCGTGCGCGCGGAAACGAACGAGGGATTCCGCGATTAATTGAACGCGTGTCCCAACGCGTAAGCCCCACCGTGTAAGCGAGAAGTCTGGCTTTTCGATCGTCGCGCACGCGCGCACAACTTGAACCGGTGAGAAGTTTTTGTCCGGCGTTACGGCCGCGAACCGGGCGAGGAAAAAACAAAGTTTTCGGGAAAACGTTTCGACCCGGCGTTCCGTAAAAATGCGTTTCTCTTCAATTAAACGAGTTAAAACGCGTCACCGCAAGAACAACGCGCGCCCCCGCAGTTCTAGAAAGAGTTTGTCGCGCGGCAAACAAACTCGGCTAATTAGGAGGGACGGAGAGAGCGTTTGAAGCGTCGGTTCGCTTCTGCAAGAGGCGCGAGCGAGGCCGCGATGAAACACCTGATGCGCGCATTAAAACGACGCTCGTCGACGGCCCGACGGAGGAGCTAATTCTGATACGATTTTCAGCTTCCGTGTTTTCGCGAGCTTCAACATTATTAAAGAGCGATTCGCGCGTCTCGCGTCGTTTTCGAGGATTATTCTACCGCGGTGCTCCATTCTCGCGCGAGTCCATGTACAGTTGTTTGGTCGATGCCGAGTTGCTGCTTTGCTAATGAAATTTCTAACCGAAGCTCGTTCGTTTATCAAGTCACGGACACGATGCGACGCCAAATTATTTGCGGAACGCTCGCAAGCAGGGTAACGGAAACCCGATCTTTTGTTAGGGCTGCTCGACGAAAAGGAAAACTCCAATTAAAAACATGAAATCGAGAGCAGTTTCAGCCGCAACAAATCAAGCCGAGTATTACAGCCAGACGGGGGAGCGACGAGAAGAACGAGTGCCGACGAGGAATTCTCGCGCGCGAAACTCAATGGGAGGGCCTAACGAAAGGGGAAAAGGGGAGGGCGTGGGAAGACGGAGCCTCGTGGAAATGAAGTTAGCGCGCCGTTGTCGAAAGTTGGGCCAAGCCAGCGAGACAGGCAGGCAAGCAGCGAAGTTTGGCAGTGAGCGAGGCGCCCTTCAGCAATTTCGTCGACGGACAAGTCGATGGACAGTCGATAATCGGCCTCGACCGGTGACGGCGCTCGAGCCATCCGAACTTGGCCTTTCGCAGAGGAGTCACTCGCTACTGCTCTGCGATTGACGAGCGGCATCTATGAACTCGATAGTATCGCTCGAAAATCTCGATGAGCATGGCGAGACGACCTCGCGAGGCTTGGCTTCGGAAGCGCGGATAACGAGGGCCCCGCGCGTGCCGTGCAGGCACGTCTTGCCCGCGAGGCTTCCGCGTAAAAAACATGTTTCTGTCGCTGTCAAGCGGTCCTCCGTAAATACCTTCGTCCGCTTTGCGCTGGCTCGCGTTAGAATTGCGCGACGTGTCGACGACGACGCCTATGGGAATTCGGCCTCGGCGTGACTTTCGGTCGCGACCGGAAGGACAGCATGGATCCAGCGGCGCGCGACTTTCATTCGTTCACCGGTTGATTTTCAAATGTTAGCCAAGTGATCAGAGCTTACGTCACGGAATATTTTGTGAATTTTTGTAGAGCAACCCCAAGAAGTCAGCTGCTCGTCCCTGATATGCCGTGAGACTTTTAATCTCTTGATTTATTTTCGAGGACAAAGTCGACCTCAAGCTTTCTAATTTCGAAAGTTAAATCGTAATAATATCAAGTACATAAAAGTTATCCCTGCTAATATTTTCTGAAATAATGGCTATTAATTGAATTTGTACACTCACCGGTAATGATTCTTTAATGAGTAATCTCGGTATCCTTATATTGCAACTTCTTTTACCTGGAAACGGAAACAACAGTATTAACTTTTCACGCGTATACATGCAGAGAATTTTGTATCGATATCTTTGGAGGATCGATTATTTTTCTTTCGAGAACGTTCTTTTCGCAATATAATTATTACGAGGATTTTTACTAGCCTCGTTCTTTCGAAGGGTCCCATTTCGTCTACCCATCCGCGTCCTCAAGCAACATATCGTAACTTGGCGTTCTCAAACGCAGTTTACGCTTGCAGTATTATTATGTTTAATTTACATGTACAGCGTCTGAGGTGTACCTCAATCCTTGTCTCTGACAACATTTATCGATAGTTTTGTGTACGTGCTCGTTGTAAAAACAGGCTTGGAGCTACATCCCACGACGTTCCTCGGTCCACTTTGCGTTCTCATCGGCGAGCATTAACGAGCGATGTCCGGTAACACCAAGTTTAATCTAGCTCTCAAAAATCGAGTTAAACAGTCGTTTTCAGCTGCTCGCAACGCAGTGGCTGTCGCGAAAATAACAACCAGGCGCTCGCTCGAATTAATTAATTCGCAGGGTAAGAAGTTGTACATCGTGTGACGCGCACGCAGGGGCACAGCTCAATTACCAGCCGTAATGACCCACATAATGACTTAGCTTCAATAGGTAAAGTCATAGGTGGAGCGAGAGCATGCTTCAAATGTAAACGCTGACGAGGCCATAATCACGCATCGCGTCATTTGGGTCACGTGCGCGCGGCGAGGTTTTGTTTAAACTTTGACGTCTCTCTCTCGCTCAGCGGCAAATCGAGAACGAGAACAATCGAGCGAGAGGTAGCTTTGTGATTAATTGTTCGTATCCGCGAAGCCTCCGATACTCGCAGTTCGTACGATTTGTGGTTTGTAATACAGCGTTTCATGGAAATGTTGCGCTCTACGTGAATGAGCATCCGGAAGCTTGGCAAATTGATTGTTGCGCCCCGACCTATTCGTAATAACCGAGCGTTTTAGTTACACGTCGACACTTATTGTGCTGCCAATTTTACAAATCGTTTCGCCGTAATCATCGACATTAGGGCCGGCTAAAGAAGTATCCTCAATTTCGTAGAGCTTCAAGGCCCCCCACCCCTTAACCACGAGCATGTGAACGTTCATTTGCTCTCGAGAACAAAGCCCGGTGGTATTTTGCTGCACGCCATCTCAGCGCGCGGCTTTATTACCCGCCGTGCCGCACACTATTTTTTTTTTAAATATCACACATAAAAATTCAAAGTACGCGCGCGACCCACATATTGAATTAGTATAGCAGGCGCTCAGATTAACTTTACGTAGTCGAGAACAAAGGAAAAAAGAAAAGGAAGACGAAGAAGAAGAAAAGGAACACTCGCTCGGATAAAAGCGAAGACAGCGGGCAGAGCGTATGGCATTGCTTCGGGCAGCCGACTAATTAATATTGCGTATGTACGCGGTTGAGCGAAGTTTTCGCCTGTAGGCGTGCAAACTAATTCAACGGCCGAACAACGGCCGACGGGCCAGCCGCTGGCCCAAGACGCTTGTTTCGGTCTCCGGGCGAACTTGGCACAAAGGCGCAAAATCAGCCCCCCTATAGCGGCGCACGTCCGTCGTGCAGCGGCAGGCAGTGGCCCGTTTTGATATTACCGCGTTGTCGGCCGCTGCGGCTTCTCGCTGTTACGCGCCGCCGTGCACGTTGGAATGCGTCCAGCGTTTGCCAGATTTGCGGCCGCGCGCTGCGGTCGTACGTACGCATCGCGCGACGCCCGGACTCGTCGAGATGCGTCGCGGCGAAAGATTATGTCGTTGGAGTGCGGGACATGGCTAGAAGCCCGGTATGATTCGCCATTCGTATGCCGATGCGTCTTTTGATTGAAAGAAAATCACGAGCTTCGTAATCGCGCGTCGTCGCAGACGAAAGCGTCGCACGGCTGACCATAGCGTTTACTTATTCCACTGCGTACCAAAATCTTGACGCAAAGTTATTTATCCTAATTAATCGAGCGGCATCGTGGATCGATCGGAAAGATGTGGTTGGCGAACACCAATTACTCAACAATTAATTTCCCACGAGCATACATTGGTCGTCTGGCGAAAGAGGGAGAAAAATCACTGACCTACATTAGCCTGCACTATATTTATCAGTAGATCGTAGCAATTGCGTCCCGCTAATTAATAACGATGCCTCTGGGATAATGAATAGTTCAGGCAGTAGTGCAGCACATATACCTACGTAGCAACTCCTTGGTGGTTTTCGGGGAATTGAGATCGATCCAATACGTCTTAGGTGAATTAATTACCTATCAGTGGCATAACGCACCACGGATATTCTCATTTTTCGGGACGCGGATTTGCATAACAATTGAGATCTTAATCTCGTTGATGATCCGTCAAACGAACGCGCGTGCGTTCGGCCTATCAAATATTGACGAATCAATCTGCATACTGGCAAGATTCACTTGAACTTTGCGGGGGTTATTATTGGCCGCGGTCTCGCCTGATTGATACGATCTCCGCAGCCTAATGAATTTATCGACGGACGCTCGAGGTCGTGAACGCTAAGCGTACGCTCTCGTTTTCGGTCGCGCGTCGAACGCCATTAACGAACGCTTTGTGATTGTTACGACAGTCGAACGCTCGAAAACTTGGCGCTCGCGGGCCTTTCAAAGTTTTCCTTTCCTTTTATCCGTAAGCTAATCTAACGCCGAGAGAGATCGCGCTCGAGCCCGACGCCACGATTACTCCAAATTTTAAATCATCTACTTTGGAAACTATCTCACCGCTGGATTTTACAGCTGTTTGATGGCTTCCGTTGGCGCGCGCGTCCTAATCTCGACTCTCTAAATTAGACTCGGCAGCTCCCACGCACAATAATCTTGCTTTCGATCCTCTCTCAAAGAATCGCTTGTTAATGACAAATTCAGAAATATATGCGGATCGTGGATTTTTCGAAAACGGATTTTACGCTCGACTAATGCAGTTGCTGATGGCTGAATTATGGCTGATAATTTGGTCCGCTAATTAGACGCTTAATACACTTGGATTTAGCGAGCTGCGATTGGCTCGTGTGAAATTCATGGTGCGTCGCTATAAGTTAAAGCATATTTCAATTAATTACTTTGGCGATGAAATCGAGAAGATAGAACGATCGACGGGTTTTTACGTTCTGACGAGCGAACGCGGAAATTGATTAAAGATACTTTTTTTTTTATGGCTAAACGGAAGCTTTGTGGAACTTTCGCGTTCGAAAGAGCAGTAAAAAAACAAGCAGCCTCTTCATAATTGCTTTCATCGCCGTGAAAAATGAATAGCTCAGCTCTCTTTCTCGACGTTATTTTTTCTTTCGTTTTTCGTCGATCGTCGAGATCATTGAATCACAGTAGTGCCTCGAGAATGCCGCAAGCCAACGTTTTTCAAGAGAAAGGGAACAAGTTTCTTCGTCGAGGAGGCTTCGCAAAGTTACGGTGAGACAAAAAGAAAATGCCTCGTTGATTTTCGGCGAAAGTCGGTCCGCCAAGTCCGAAAAAAAGGATATTGGAGGAAACAGAACGCAGAGCTGTTAGCAAAATTGAAAACACTCGCTCGACGTATCCTCGATAACCCGACACATATACACTAGACCTCTGGATCTCTCTCTTTCTCTCTCTCTATCTTTTAGCCTTATGTTCTTCCTCGAAAAGGAGAAACGGGAACGCGCTGTAAGAAACCAGATACTACCTTCTCCCTTTTCCTTCCCTCTTAAACATCACCGGCGTCTCTTATTCAATTTTCGCCTCCGCTTACCTGATTTTCATCATCGACAACAACGCGAGACTTGGTCATCGAAATTTCGTCGAGCTGCGGTGTAACAGCCGAGTAGTTTTACTTGCGTTCTTGCCTTTATCTAGGTCACGGTTCATCTCTGTCTCAGTTTGAAGAAGTTTGCTTTTTCCCTGCTCTTCCGATTTCATTTGCCAAGTCCACGATAAACAGAACGAGCTGAGTCGCTCCGAGGCAAGGTGGCGCTTTAAATTTATTCCGCAAGTTTACGAGCGAATCTCAATGAAAGATTTGACTCGAGTTTGCCCTAATAATTTAAGTGTAAACTTGCGCTAGGCCATTTGTCTAAAAGTAACGCGAACTTAAATTTCGTTTATCACCGCGCCGAGGTAAACACACGGCAGTGCGCCCGAGTAAACAAATCCGACAAAAAAGTACTCACCGCGACGATGTTTACAACCCATTCGAGCGTAGTTCCCCTCGTTATAAAACTTGGTTAGCCTCGCGGACGGCGCGAACGGCAGCTCGCTCGTTGTCCTCCATTGCGATGGGCTAATGAGGTGCGCACGCGCTAATTCCACAACGGTGAATGGGCCAATATGCTGCGATTTGTGCATCGCGCGTTATTAAACTTTCGGCCGAGTGTCCGCGACTCGCGCGCTCTCCAAGTTGGGACTTTCGTCGCGTATGAATTTTCCACGGGACGACGGCGACGCGAGAAGAAGGCGCGACGCGCAATCGAACGCGATTGTCATTCAAAGCGTTCGCTCTCTATTCGGACGAGCGTCCCAGATTTCCGGAGGCTCTGGAGCTTCGTATTAATTATTTAACGACGAGAAACTCGATGCACTCGTGCATTTTGAACGAGCGCTCGAACGTGGAGGGCGGATACGTCGAGTAACCTACCGCGATTATTCAACGTAGAGGGCTGCTACGCGGATGTACGGGCCGACGAGGGGAGCGCTGCAGCGAAAAAGAAGCCTTGTTGACCAACGAGTCGACCGACCGCTTGCCACTCGCCATTTGCGCTCGGCTAGAGCACACACATCGAGGGGCGAAACCTCGAAGCGGCTAAAATCTCAATGGACTGCGCGCGACTTTAGGCTGTCGATTGCCTACTTGGAGTTAGCCGTGGAAGTTGCGTCGCAAGCGCGACCGACAATGAAGTACCGCTGTGGGGGAGAGAGACAAGCTCGTCCCACCGACAGCTTTTCACTTAGCGAAAGCGTTCAGCGTGGAAGCAGACGCGTCTCGGTGACGATCACCGTCC